ACCAGGTTAGAAAACACCTAGCTCAATTACAGCTGAAAAAACTAAATAAGGGAAAGCAACATTCTCCGTAGGTTTAGCTTACGGCTACTTTTTGTTTATGGAAACGGTTCGTTTGCAATGTGTTGCACCAAATGGTACAGGAGCGTCTGCCAGCAGCAGCTGCATATGATGAAAGCAAAAATTCTATTTTTATGTGGCAAATGTTCCCTTTTTATGAATCGCTGCTACACCCACTTTAAAAGAGCTCACCCGTTAAAGGGCCGGCTGGCACCTTTCCGAGCACATGGTCCCTTCCTGCCAACATGATCTGGATGAATATCTGTACCCAGAGCCTTTATTCTCACCTTTAATTTTTAGAGGCGCGGCCCTTTCGTCTGGTTACTTTTATGCATCTGAACTGAAATTCTGACGCAGTACAACAATGTAAACATTAACCCATGCATAAGCTATACTTGCGGTGAAAGAGGAGGAGTTCTCCAACACACAGTTTGGATGACTTAAGTATTTTAAGTAAATGAAAAAACATTACATCGTTCTTTAAGGCCAGTTTCAAAGATTTGCAGAAACATTGAACATAAAACAGACAGCATTAAAAAAAAAAAAATCCAACATTATTTACAGTCGGGGGGGGGACTGAGCACCTGCCTATTTGCCTTAAGTATTAAAAGTGCCTCCCATTGAACCACCCCTCCCCACAAGAACTTTTAACGCTGAGCAACCTGCCCCCCAAAGTCTTTGCACCGTCCTGCTAGTATGCTCTATATCAGGTGCGAGGATCCTGATCCATGGAGAGCCGGTGCAGGTTTTTGGGATGGCCTCTCAATCAGCCAATAATAAAGCAGTGGTTCTCAACTCCAGTCCTGGGAACCTACTGTCATTGGCTGATTGAGAGGCCAACCACAAAAACCCGCACCGGCCCTCCATGGATCAGGCTCCCCACCCTTGCTCTATACTAAGTGCCTCCTGCATTTACAAATCAGTAAACAAAGTCAAAAACAGCCTATAGGCTGAACTCCAGCAATAAATAATAATAAAACCTCGTGTGTGATTTCTTGGACAAGTGCGTCATTTTTATATTTTTTTTAAGGCTCACCGTGTTGCTGCGGGCAGAACTGTGGGAACGACTGCGGCATAAGCTTTCCCTCATGATGCTGGCACACGACGTTGGCGATCTCCTGCCTGCACTGGCGGGAGCTGGCACGGTGCAGGGCAGACAGAGCGTCCTTGCCCACTATGTCGCACTTGGGCACAAAGTCACTGCTGAGGGCCGGAGGGGCACCCCCCACACTGCCGACGTCACCCTGCTGGGCCGGCAGGACGTGCCCCATCCCCTCCTCCACCTTCTGCTCCGTAAAGTTGCGGCTGCTGGAGGGCACCCCCTCCGCTGTACCTCCGCGCCTCCTGCCGGCCCTTTTGTGCTGCCCTGGCTCCTGAATCGGGACCCGGGATGCCGCGCCCCCGAGCCGGTCCCTTCCGACCCGCCAGCGGCTGCGATTTCTCCCCAGTGCCCCATGCTGTCCCTCCCATACGGAAGCAGCCCGCCTGGAATCGTGGCTGTTGTTGTCAGGGAGCTTCGACCTTCGGTGCTTCTTCTGGGGGAAGAGCGACAACAGTGATCAACGGTTTTAATTTTTAATTCTTTAGGTGCTTTATTCAGAAGGATGCATTTACATAACAATTAAATGAACTAGTTTCCCATGACACCATAAGTATCATCAGAATCAGAATCAGAAAAACTTTATTGATCCTGGAGGAAAATGCTCATGTTACTACTAAGCGGTTACACAGAGACACAAGACAAGAACATAAAAAAGAATATCAGATATAAGAATAAGAAACTGAAATAAAATTATAAAAGAGAGACTGCACTATATACACCATGATATATACATGAGAAACAGAAATACAATATATATATATAAATAGAATAAATTCTGTTAAGTGTAGTAATACAGGTAAATTACAAGATGAAAATTGCACATCTGAATAGCAGCAGGTTTATTGAACAGGCTAAAGTATGGGTGTGTGGCGGGATGGAGTTTATATTTATATTTATAGTCAAGTAAGGATTTGCAGAGTGTGTACAGTAAGGAAGACACCTAATAAATCCCAACACAGTATTACACTGATTTTAAACTAGCTTAGTTTTCTATGTAGGGGGACAGAATATCCAAACTGGGATAATGGGATGACCAAACATTTGCAATGAATATATTTTCAAAATAATTCTGGACAGACTGCAGCATGCACTTCCGTTTTTTTTGCAGAACAGCTTGATTGTATGACAGTTTATTGTGAAACTAAAACTGGAGGTTGTAGCAATACTTGATCTGCTTAACCCCAGTGGGTTGTAAGGTGTATACTAAAATGAACCCCTTCCTGGTTGAAGAAATGTAACAATGTCACAGAAACTACACATCGTTTATATACAGCAGCGAGTTATTAGTCAACAGTATAAGAGAATATATCCAACGAAGTTGAACTTAACTAGGCCCCCCGTAGTAATGCCGGTGATCTCAGTTAACGCTTCAAATAAATCATAGCCTTTTTAGCGATTCTGCTTTAGGTCTATTAAGTTTTTCCAATCTAACACCACTGGAAAATTATGGTTTTAAATCGAAACTCGCCGCCTAGACAGTAAAGCAGCTGCCATTAGATACTATTCGCAGTATACATTTATTATCAGAGAGAAGAAAAGGAAGGAAAGGGAGTTTCTGACCAAATTAACAATACATTTAGTTCAACGAAACGTTACAGAAATTAGCACCCATGGTAAGGTAGTGTCTGTGCAAAGGCACGCAGGCTGTTTCATTGTTTACAATGCCACCCCTGCAATTCACCGCACTGTGCCAGAGCAACGATCCAGCAAGGAAACACTGAACATGGTGGAAAATGTAAATAAAACGAGCAGAAAAGGCGATCAAACTGAAAAATGGCGCTGATATAAATAACAAGCGCTCCGAGACCACCACGCCTGTTTATAGAGCCGGACCTTCGCGTCCGCGACTCGCCCGAAGTAAACAAGGCGAGCGAGGTTAACTAGCCGTAACGCATTAATTGCTATAAACAAGCAGCTAGTTGTTGAATCGAGTTAAACGGACAGACGATCAGGTAAAATACACACGCTATGGGGGTGCTGTCATGTCTCAGCGAATGATCGGTACGAGTGTATGGTCGAATTATCGCTAGTTTGCCCACTACATTTGGCTACTTACTTCCACTTCTCCTTCTTCAAGGCTCCTCAGGCTCCACACCACAAGCCCCTGAATGAGGAGGACGACCAGGGCCGCCACGATCGCCGGCTTGTACCGCCAGAGCAGCTTCTGCACCCGAGCGCTTGCCACCATCTTTTCCGGTTGCCGGCCTCGGCTCTGGCATGGGGCAGCAGGACAGGGACTATGGGCTGGAAACACAATCGCATCCGGAAGGAAAGCGAGCTAGAGTTTCACAGGGGAAAGATGGTGGATGGATATAAGTGACAGAGCTTGCGCTTCTGCGAGAGGAATGGAGGGGAGGGGAGGGGAGGGGGGTCTGCCTTGGGAAGGGCCAGCATGGCTCGGTGACGTGGGGAGGAACCGGGCTCCGCCATTGCGGCGGACGCCTTTCTGCCAGAAACCAGACCCAGATCCGCCGTCCACACCCCCAAAAGGGGGGGAAATAAATGCAATATGGGGGTCAACATCCTCACTTCGTATAAACCGCATCTTTTTCTTCGGATTTAAGTTCGTACCTCATATTAAACAAACAAACAAAAGATCGTAAGCTTATTTAGGTCTAATTGTGTTTTTATCTGTATGAAGGTCACAGAGATGCCACAGCTACAGGTGCTTCCTGAGACAGCTGCATGAAAGTTACAAATACAAAATGTTGTTTTAATTTAATTTGGTTTATGCATGCTCATGGAAATATAACTGAACAATTTTGCAAGTAAGTGGCTTAGGCAAGCTTAATAAAACGGTCAAATACTTGACTGCACAAGTATAAACATGCAGCTCTAGGACAAAAATATCAGTGACCACCCTACATTTCATTTGGGGATATTGCACAATACGGCTGTGCAAAGACAGGTTCGCTGCTTCTGACCTTGGACTGGACAAGACATAACAACTGGCAGGCGAACTTTATGTAATAATAAATCTTTCTCTGGGCTTTCATCCCAGCGATTAAGTTTCCATTGGCTTTTAATTTCTATGTAATCTGACCGCAATGTCAGGTGTCTAATATCTCCCAGTTACCGAAGTAACCCTAACCCTGCCACCCAAAGGGATCACCACTGAAATCTCTTATATTCTGCCTTAAATGTAAATACTTAAAAGTTCACACATAAAATGAACAAAACTACTTAGCAACCCAGCTAACATAACTACTTCATAACAAGACCGATCCTATCCCTGCATGTGTTAATGTTAATTTTCATGGTGTGCAGGGAGTTACAGTGGAACTCGATATACAATTTTTTATATATATATATATATATATATATATATATATATATATATATATATATATATATATATATATACACACACACACACATACACACACCTGCCTCTGTTAAAATGCTGAGGACCACAATGAAGTACGACATTTTATTTCCAGATAAACTAGAACATACATTTTCTAAATGCACGAGGAGGCAAGCATTGTTAACGGGCAGTCTTACTCAGTCTAAGACTATAGATTATAGGTCTGCTTTATGGCGTACGATTGTTTGATAGGTAACCGCGCTACAAAATATTAACTAGGCCTATGTGCTGCTAAAGTAACGTCTAGTGAAGCTCGCCCTTCTGTGCAGCTCCCAGTACATTGGTATCGCGTTGGGAAGGCGGGGCAGAGTTAACCTGAGGTCCTCTTGGTGTTTTTTAATTTGCAAAGGCGACACTTCATTTACACACCCCCAAGATCGCTGGTGTGAGGAGTCCGCGCTGCTCCACTCGGTTCGGACGCCCGTGTGAATACAGGTGGTTTGTTTAAAGTTCCTGGAGATCTACGGCTTGTTTCTGGACTCTTGTAGTGAGACAAGAAAAGATGGAGACTTACTGCAAACATTTGCCTTAAGCTCTTTAATGCACGTTAAAATTTAAGTGCATATACAGTAGACTGTAAGTACATAGTGTTTGTAGAAGACATGGCCACATTGCCAATCACTACACAGATACCGCCCACATTCTCACCTTATCATCGCATCAACTCACCGTAATATTGGCTTCAAGTGAGTATTGATCATTTGAATTATTTTCAAAACTTTTAAAATGTATAATCGAAGATTTTACACTGTATATTGATACAGTAAAATCTACCTTTTTGAAACTGTATTACTCTGCTCCCTTTAGTCTCCTGTCTGGTGTTTTTTTGTGGCGATCCTGGTGCTGCTGTCCATCCTCTTTCAGAGACACTCGTTTTGCCGCAAAATCAGGACTAATCAGGATTCTCGTCAATACCCCGTAAGCCCCCTCGGGCTTGATCAAGTATGGAAAGACGGACTGAATTAAGTTTATTTTCAAATTAAATAAAGTCTGTAATCGTTATGGTGAATTTTCTCTGCATGAAAAGTTTAAAAACTTTTAAGGCAAAGTTTTACGCCTTTTTCAGAGCAGTAATGCAGAAAAGCTACCGTGACAAATTCAGGTCACTGAAGACATGTATTTCATGCAAAAGATATAACGTCTATGAAACTTGAAGCTATGATGTAAGCTTACATACGTAATGTAATAAAATACACTCGTGCTTAAGCAGGCAGTTGAAAGTAAGTTGCCTGCATTTCTGGCTGAAGTGAAAGTTAGATTTTAAACATGAGTCAAAAATGTGCTTTTATTTTTTGTATTTTAAAGTATATGTACATGATATTTAAAAGTCTGATGGTGGCAAGAGTTTGCATGCTAGGTCTACGATAAGACTACTCATTACTTTATTATTTCCCTAGATATTTATATTTAGTGTACTGCAACACCAGAAAAAATGGTGCAAGGGGAATGAAGATTGATTATGTAGTTATATTTGGTATATAAATGTACATGTACTATATACATATATTGTTAGCTTTGGGATAAAGTTAATGTTTTTAGAGTAGATGTTTTTCAGTAGAACACAGTGAGTGTATAAAAATGCTAAAGTTACAATGAAACGAGGCACCAACCTATACAAGCATTTTATGGGGAAAGAATGGGAATTACATTATTGTTCAGATTTCTGAAAGATTTGCTGAATCAAGGGTATTTCCACAAGTTAATTTTTCAGTTATATCGTGAGTCAATACATTTTTTTTTTTTTTTAATTTAGAAAATTAAACATTTTTCTGGTGGTTTGTTGCTAGGATACATTACAAAGTGTAAGGACAGGGGATCTTTCAATACCAAGGCTCTTATTTAGTTGCTATGCTGTCACTGATTTCAATGGGGATCTTAAGATTCTTAAAGTTACTACAATAAGACTTCACTGAGGTGGGAGTGGGTGGAGAAGAAAGTATTACTATTCAGCATTTTGTAAGACCCAAATCAAATGGGCTGGTATATAAGGAGACAATCCAAAATTTGAAACTGTGGAAAAAATAGGGAATTGGTCTCAGGATATTAAATATGACTCTATAATTAATATGAGGGTAACGTTTGTAAATTTTCAACACTGACACTATGTTTTGATTTATGGATACTCTGCCCCACTATTACAACAGTAGGCACTCATTATGGCTCCCCGCTATAATGAACAAGGTTCAGTGATGGCCTATGACAATGCAGTGACCCAGGTAAGGAGTCTGTCTAAACATCTAATCCTTGCAAAGAATCCCATCACTTTTAGTCATCCCAGTGACCAAGTCAACTACTCTGTTTCATCAAGTGTTGAAAAAATGCAGAGATGTGCCTTTCTCTGGAGGGTTAAGTTAGCCCGATTCCTTTCACCAGCCCGTACAGCTGTTTCTCGCCGGGCAGCCAAGCAACTACCAGTGGCAGACATTGGAAACCTCTCTGCCTTATCTCCCATCCTACATGAGCGTTCGCAAAAAGGACCGGCAACAGCAGATCCACACGATGACTGTGGAGCGGTTCGGCCTCAGTAGCCCTGTTCCAGACAAGATGAGCAGCTGCACAATCAAAGGGCTTCCTGCTTGCAAATATTGATACAACAAGACAGCTTCACTGGAAGGCATGTCTCTGTTCAGGGCATCATTAGACGATCATCTGCAATTAATCAGTGTTTCTTTTCTTCTTCTTCAATGACTCAGGCTTGTAGACAATTAACCCTCCCTAGCTGTCTGATTCTTTTGCAATTAATTGCAGAACTAGTGTGCTACCTCTGTGGGGGAAACGATATTTAGCTTTCCCAGAGCAAAGAGATGTTTTATGTTTTCATTTTGCCTTGAAAAGAAAGGAGGGTGTCCCTATTACCATGGGGCATCAGAGTAATTAACAGATAAGGGATACAAAGTAAGGGCGCAAACACAAGTGGAAGGCGTTGTCAGGACTGAGCTTTAAACAGGCATGTTATGCAAATAAATGCTACGTTATTTCTGGTTGATTAATCCCGGCCTGTCATGAGGAACGGATTGTGGAACCCTGGTTTAATTGTATAGTCCTGATAAACAGCAGCCAAACCACAGTTAATGGGGTCTAACACTGAGATTCCTCACACATGCAATCAATAGAACAAAGCAGCTTGTAGATAATTGTGGGGAAACATCTGATGTTCATCTGACTTTCAAACGAACCCATTTTCTTTTTTCCAGACGATAATGGTGGGCTTTAACCATTTCTTCTTTCCTATCTAAATTTAACTTCTGCATGTCTGAAAATGAGTAGTTATTTGTAATTAATTGTATGGTAGTCTATTATATGACAACCCTTCTATTACTGTAAATACTTAAAAAAATAAATGCCTTTTAACAATAGAATAAATTATACTTTATTATTCTCTGTGGGGAAATTCTCTGTAGACCTCCCCCAGCTTGCTCTCTATAGGTAAGAGCCAGCTGGCCATAAAGGCACCCAGGGAGCTGGGGGCTAAGGGCCTCGCTCAAGGACTCACAGAAGTGGCAAATCCAGGCTCAAACCAGCGCCCTCGTGATCACAGGCACAGAGGCTTAGTCACACACTGGCATGTCAAAGTCTCTAGACTTTTCACAAGAAAAAGAACAGGATAAAACCACAAGACTGGTATTATTTGACTATAAGAATTTATAATTGAAGTCTCAAGGGTATATCCTAAAAATAACAAGAGATCATCAGCATTTTGTTTTCTTGTGTGAATGTTGTGGATACTTGCTGTTCTAATATAGGACTGTGTTTGTCACCACACTCTATTACAAATGAATGTTCTGTTTGCTGCTTTCTTTTCAGTCGCCCCCGACTTATGAGGAATCCATTGGCCAGTGTGTCACGGTCCCCTGCAGGCTTGGGGAACCCGATACTGCCTCGCCCTCTCTTGCTGACTCTCACCATAGCGAAGCCTCCGCTGAGGTGAGAGGCAGTCTCAGAGCAGCATTCCACTCCAGATGCCCGCTGTGCCCCTTTGCCTACAGTATGTAGAGCCTTCTTGCCACCCCGCCCCCTTTCCCAAAAGGCTCTGTAAGATCAAGGCACACTTCAGCTCTTCTCATAAGTGTAACAGAAACATAAAACGCAGATAACATTGTCCCAGTTAAGAAGTCAGTGGATTTGGGCCAAAGGCTGAATATCAGTGTCAACTGGCTAAACATCAGTGCCAAAAGGCAGACACAGTTATACAGCTGGATTTTGCCACTGTGTCTTTCCGAACCTTTACCCTCAACGCAGGGATGCCTATGATGCCTTATCGATGGAGACTTTGTTTTTCACTAAACAGGAAAATGCCCTGTTCTTTGAACTTGAGCCTGTTTTTTTAAATGACTCAGGATGAAATAAAAATCATCCGTGGCTATTTAGGATTTTCTGATTTGTCTGTTACTTATTTAAACGGCTTCTGGCCGACTTTAAAGGAACACGTAACACCTGATATCTGGGAGCAGTTCTGAAGTGGACCTTGTCGCAGGGAGTCATTAACCTCAGTAAGTATTTCAGTTAAGTTACTCATTTCTCATGGTTTCTTTTTTAACTTAGGTCAAACATTTCCCCCTTATGCTGTATAATCTTTTGTCTGCAATTCTGTCAACCAATTTTATATAGGACAATTCATTCTGGCGTTGGTGGAAAACGGGAAGAGCAAGCTACTGCAAAAGCACACTCTACAATTGCTTACATTAATGTTAATGGATGCAAACAGTCGTATAAAAACATTTCACTCATTTCTGGCACCAGTTAGCCTGTGTTCCAAGTGTATAAAGATGTATAAAGTAAAATGTATTGTTCAGAAGAAATAATGAAGAATAAAGATCTCAGTCTATTCTGACAGTACTGTATGCACAGTTTATAAAACTTTGTAAGTTAAGTAACAATTTTACATTTCTTTCATGCTATAACTTGGTCAGTGCTTTGCCTGATTATTATAGCAAATACATTAGCAAACACACAAGCTCATCAAAAGTAGACAATTGTGGCTTCATGTGGGTTTCATTCCTGTCAGTGGAATTTTCCTGTTCTGTCTTACTTTTCATGGGTTTCCTTGTGAACCAAACCTACCATTTTGCTGAAAATCTGGTAAATTGTTCAACATGTTTCCCCTGTACTACCTAGGATATACTGTAGGCTTGCTGCGACCAATCATGGGAAGTATATTCTATATTCCTACCAGATTCCAGCAGAAACCTGCATTTGATACAGTCCATAAATCCATAATTGCTTCAACCGTGGTTCTAGAAAGTTTGCTTTAATTAAGTCAGCCATGTGCGCTGTGAAGAGACCTAGATCGCAGGGCACACAGGACACAAGGAAGGGGAACACCCTGAATACAGTCCGTTCTGCTACGACGACATATCTGACTGCAAATCTGTTCTAACACGATTGATTTATTAGTACTCAAGTCCAATACAATGCGGAATCACATTCATATTTGCACAATTTTCAGTTGGACAGAAAAGCACTACGCAACCTACAACGGGTTATAGTGAGAAACACTACTTGCATGCAAAAACAGCTATCGAAGTGAACAATAGTGATGTCAAATTTGTGAACGAATCATTATTTTGAACAGATTCTTTTCAGTAAATGAATCTAACTTGTTTTCAAATCTAAAAGAACTGAAATTCTTGTATATGCTCACATTGCACAGGTCTTAGATTCTAAACATCTAAAAATATTTAACAATTTTCATATAAAAACACAGCATTGTTTTTAATCTCACTTACATTTGCTTTTCGTCATGTTGCCTTCAGTGCCCCTCCGCATACCGTGATCCAGGCACAATCATTTTCTCTTATGGATCCCACAGGAGAGCTACTGTAGCATAAATTGCTGAAAAAGTTAATGCTGGATTTGATAGAAAGGTGTCAGAACACACAGTGAATAGCAGCTATCTGCATATGGGGCTGTGTAGCCACAGATAGATCAGAGTCCTTGCTGACCCCTGTCCACCACCGAAAATGTCTACAATGGGCACCTCAGCATCAGAACCGGATCAGTGGAAGGTGGTGGTCTGGTCTGATGAGTCACATTTTCTGTTACATCATGTGGACGGCTGGGTGCATGTGTATTATTTACCTGAGGAAGAGATGGTACCAGGATGCACTATGGGAAGAAGGCATACCAGCAGAGGCACTGTGATGCTCTGGGCGATGTTCTGCTGGGAAGCCTTGGGTACTGGCATATTCATGTGGATGTTACACTGACACATGCCACCAACCCAAACACTGCTGCAGACCAAGTACACCCCTTCATGGCAAAAGTATTCCACAATACGCATTATGATTTTATGAAATTCGTCAATTTTTCCCCCCAAGAATTTTAAAGTGCTATAAGACCGAAAGCTACGTAAAACAAGTTTAAAGCATGAAAAATTATTTATTGGAGTACCTGCATTTAGCATTAGTCAACCAATAACACCATCCGACAAGTGTCCCCCCCTTTTAAAAAAACAAAAACAATAAATACATAAAGTTCTCCAGCTGACATATAGGAATTTAGAGTCCGTTCTCAGAGCATTCCCACAAGTCTGAATTTGCCCTCTTGCTTGACTGGCACCACGTTGATGAAGGTCTTGTAGAGGACCGCACCCTTGGGGAGCTTTCGAATGAGTTTGACCGCTTCCACGCTCCGGGGGCTGGGAATATACACCTCCTTGGTGAATCTCACAGTGCCATCTTCAAGGGCAAACAATGTTTTGTTGGTCCCAATTCCAACCTTGGAATAAACAGACACAGGATTTATGCATCCAGATCATCAAGCTCCATAGTAATTTAAAATACAAAAATGTAAAATGTCTTACATGCGCTCCTGGATGCCAGCGAATGCCTCGCTGGGTGGCGAGGATGTTGCCGGCGTGGACAAAACTTCCTGTACAGAGATAATAAGGCATCAAATACCAGGTTATAGACACGTTGTAACTAATTCGCTAATATAACTGTATCGGAAACAGTTTTTTTTTGCTTTGTACAATGTATAGCTTCGTTTAATTTTGCAGGTCTTCCATATTGAATTCCATTAAATTACTGCAAGTTGTAAGCTAATGCAGACGAGTTAGTTTCCATACATGGTAGTACTCTTGTAACTGGAATAATTTTTAAAATGAGGAGTAAATGCACCATCCATCTTCTTGTATCCGTATCTCCGGCCGGGGCTGCCCGATCCATAATTCTTGCTGCTTCCCCCTGACTTCTTAGAAGCAAACCTTGCAAAGACCGCCAGTGGGCTGTAACACGGTGCGAAGACACCTGAAGTAAAGATGAAAAATAAAGACAATCGACGGCTGCAAGTCAGAAAGGGAGATGCTAGTGCTTCCCCTAAGTAAGGGAGACACACAGTATGCAGCATTTAACACGTGAAGGCTAGCCAGATCAGTGCAAAAACTAAGCACGTACGAAGATACATAGTAAAAGCACATAAATCCGCATGATCGTAATGAATTATTGCAGCGAATCACTGCATTTTGTTACCCGCTCTGGCCGACAGCGTGAAGGACAGGGCGGCCATGCTGAGCTCCACAGACACGCACTCCGACCCCTCACCCGGAAGTACAAGCTGACGTCCTCCGGGCAACAAAAGCGGGCGATTCAATCCGAAGGGGCACCCGTGTAATCCGGTTGACGGTAAGAACAGTCCGTATTATCGTACATTACTGAAATAAGAGGATAGATGCTAGTTTAAAAGACCACGTGGAGAGTATTAGCGGCACTGCCGAAGATCCCTGATCTCTATCTATATAGAGAGTAAGGTCGGTAGGCAGATAAGTAGGTAAGAAAAACGTATTTTACAAAATTAATGTTACATATCTGAGACATATAACATTTTAGTGGGAGCTTTTCTTAAGTCCGATCTCTCTCATTTCATAGGATCATTGTTAGTAGCCAGTCAGAATGGTACTATACCGCTATCCAACTTAAGTTTACTGCATAATTTTAATGGTATTTTTTTCCCGCAGATCGCGAAATTTTTGGAATGTATATAAGTATAGTATGAGTACATTTCAGATTATGGAAAGTATATTTTTATGTTTACCTTGTTTGTTGACGTAAAATTGTTCCACATAGTACTGGCTGAACTTTGGACAGAATCGGCATGGGAGGCAGCAGACTGGATGACCAATCTACCGACTCCAGCGATACGGAGGACCTACCCAGCTGTGCCTTCCTGAACCTCCGACCTAACCAGTCAGCTCCTTCTCGAGCAAAGCAGACGGATGTTACTGCTCCGCTGCCCCACGCCTCCTGCCCAGAACCCTACACAGAGGGATTAGGCAAACCCAGGGATGTAGTGATGATCAGCAGTGAGAGTGATGAAGAAGAGATCACCGTTCCCCTTGCTATAAGACTAAAGCAGCGCTTGGCAGGCTCGACGTCATCTGTCCCTGCTGTGACACCCCCTCTCCCAGCCTCCGTGTTCCAGGCTGGCAGCTCAGTTCTGCGGCATCGAGCCAAAGCAGACTCCGGTTCAGTCAGCCAACACCGTGCCCTGCTCCCTCTCCGCTCCGAAGAATGCGGAAAAGCCCCGGACTTCACACGGGTCGCCGTGGGCTCCTCAGCCTCCGGATCATTGGAGGAACCCGGAGCACTGACGGACATTGGCGGCTCTTCTTCGGCTGGGGGGGCCACCAAGCGCAGTGCGACGGCGATCAGGGCATCGAGGGAGGATGCCCTGAAGAGGAGGGAGGCCCGGGAGAAGAATCAGGCTGTCCGCAAACTCGAGCTGGAGAGGCAGAGAGCTGAGAAGAAGGCTTTCGCTGATGCTGTTAAGGCTCTACGGCCAGAAGAGTGTATCAAACACATGGTGGTGTGTGTGGATCCAGGTGAATGTCTCCTTAAGAGTGTAATAGTCTACAGCCAGAGAGAATCAGTAGACGGTATATTTCAAGCCAGCAATGTATCCTCAGAAGCACATATGGTGATTTTACTACTTGAATGGTACACTAAGCACTACTCACTCAGTGAAATTTTTTGGCGTGCCAGCGTATATTTCACACTTGGCGGGCCCCTGTTTTTAAGTGCTGTGGCAAAGCCTGAAATGATCAGACCAGTGTGCAGTGCTGACTGGGAAAGCTTTCAGTCCCCTTTAGAGAGATGACTGTCTTAAAGAGAGAGCTAGATTTTTTATATTCAGGATAACATCTCGATTAAATGTTCAGCTGGAACTAAAAAATTCATTTTGGCAATTTTTCAGTGCTTGAGAATATTTTGCGTGCTGCTCCATCCATAATTATGTATCTCATTAAACTTTTTTTTTTTTTTAATCTTTCTAA